TCAGATTTATAAATTTTTCCTGAAATTAATATTATTCTTCCTAAGAATATTTCAATTCAATCTTGTTGTAACTTTTTATCTTCATATGAGTTTTTTATAAGAATTTATTTAGTTTCTTTGGTAAATTTGTAAGCCACACCGTCTATTTTAACAATACTAAAACGTAGAAAAGATACGTAAAATAAAAACATATAAAAGTGCATACGAGGAAAAAAGTAAAAATAGAGAATACGTGATTTTACCAAGACTGGAATCAGGAAAGATTACTTCGAAATTATTTTTTTATTAAAATATATTAGGTGTACAACTTTGCTTCCGCCGTTTTTTTCCGAAATTCGAGGCTTTATTGTAAAAAACTGGTTATACATTTCTGATTCAAAGTATTGTCCATCGCTGGCCACTACTTTCTCCCATCTTTCGGGCAGCACACGAATCCCGCGTTGAAAAAACTGGTCATCTTTTGAAGCGATCCACAAATAGATCCAATTTTTAACTTCTTCATAAGACCGGAAGTGCTGGTCAGCCAGGCCGTGTGCCATTGATCGAAACAAGTGATAGTCCGAGGGAGCAACGTCTGGAGAATACAGCAGGTGGGGTAGGATTTCCCATTTCAACGTTTCCAAGTATGTCTTGACCACTTTCGCAACATGGGGTCGAGCATTGTCGTGCTGTAAAATCACTTTACCAAGTATCTCGTTGTATTGCGGCCGTTTGTCTTTTAATGCTCGGCTCAAACGTATTAATTGCGTTCGATAACTATCACCTGTGATTGTTTCAGTCGGTTTTAACAACTCATAATGCACTACGCCGAGCTGGTCCTACCAAATATAGAGCATACCTTGGAACCGTGAATATTCGGTTTGGCCGTCGACGTGGAAGCATGGCCGGGATATCCCCATTATTTTCTGCGCTTGGGATTAACGCAATGAACCCATTTTTCGTCCCCAGTCACAATGCGATGCAGAAATCCTTTCCGTCTTTACCTTGCAAGCAGCTATTCACAAGCAAACAAACGCCGTTCAACATCTCTCGGCTTCAACTCGTACGGCACCCAATTTCCTTGTTTCTGAATCATTCCCATGACTTTCAGGCGTTTAGAAATGGCTTGTTGCGTCACTCCCAATGATCCTGCCAATTCTTGTTGCGTTTGACACGAGTCTTGATCAAGTAATGCCTCCAATTCTGCATCTTCATAAACCTTCTCTCTTCCACCGCCATGCCGGTCTTCGACGTCAAAATCACCGTTCTTGAAGCGTTGAAACCACTCTTGGCACTTTCTTTTACTAATAGCAGCCTCACCATAGGTATTTGAGAGCATTCGATGAGCCTCAGCCGCAGATTTCTTCATATTAAAGCAGAAAATTAAAACCTCCCGCAAATGACGAGAATTTGACTCGTAAGCTGACATGTTTAATCGAGAATAACTTTATGATGCAGACACAATCGACTAATATTTCGATGGGGTTATGTTTACAAATGCCTAAGCTTATTGTATGACATCTACGATCTATTTATTTCGACTACCACTTACCGCTACAACCATCTATTGCAAAACGGCGGAAGCAAAGTTGTACACCTATGTAACTTTAACTTAACCTAAGACTTGTTAAATGATACAAGATTGTGAAGACTCCATTACGGCCTCTTTTTAGCTGTTCAAGCCAATTTCATTTAGAAGATGGGGTAGAGTTTATCATTTCTATCAAATATTTTTTGTCGATCTTTAGGTTCCCTTTACATTTTATAATTGAAAATATAAATACATAAAATAACCGTTTATAAACTTTATATGAAAACATTCAATTCAACGATATTATTCGATTAAAAGTTATGTGGTAAACGTAAGCTTTATATTAATTTTGCAGTAATGCATGCGGTTGCGTATATTTTTCATATTATTACAGCACTTTAAAACACATATATATTTAAATAGATTTTTGAATAGATTAAACTTACATGTTGTGGTAACAGGCACTTAATAGACTTAACATCAAATTAGTAAGCTAAAATTTGTTTTTAAATCATAAAGAACTATTTATTTTGCATTTAACATACATACTATGATAAGATTGTCACATAAAAGTCGTGACAAAAATATAAGAAAAATATGTTTTTTAAACAAACCATCAAATACAACTTGCGTTTTGTTTCTACTTGCTCTGAGTCTTTACAGTTGTAGAATAAAATAAAGGTTATCTTAATTTTTCAAACAAAATTAAGAGGAAAACAAATTTCATATATAGTTACATTACTTTTTCATTAATCATCAAGTTATTTTAATTTTTAAAATCTGTTCAGCTGGTCTTAATCTACAAAACTATCTATTTATCTAATTTTGTTGCAGATCTATAGAAATATTTCTAAGTTTTCAAATATCCTAAATATGTATACATATGGAAGTTTCAAGTTTTTAAAGTATTAAAGAAATATTGTTTTGATCGAGATACATTTTTTTCCGGATATTTACGTAAGATACGCCAATATTGCCATTTCTTGGAATGTGGGCAAAGATCCAAGAGCTCATTTTATGTTAAGTATATTTATTCTGAATATTACGAATCTGGAAAACTTCGTTACACGTAATGTACTTACCCCGTTTCGTAAATAACTTTGAAAATAAGGTACTGCACGAAATTATCTCACGCCCCAGACCAATTCATTACTCGGTCTAGCAGAAAATACTTTATATGTCATTCATGTATAATAATAAGCGGCTCCTTTAAGCTTTCAAGGAGATAAATTTTGTAATCTATACTATAAATAACAAGTTATTTCATATCAAATATAAGAAGTGTATAAATATCTAACTAAACTGCAAACTTAAACTCTTTAAAACTAAACACAGAAATTTTGATAACGGACAGTAACCATATTTTAGAATTCAAGCACTTGTTAATAAAGATGTTATCTTAAATACTAAGATTTACGGCTTTAAGTCGTGTGTTTCGAATGTTATAGGAAAATTTAAATCAGGTTATTTGTAAATTATTAAATATATTTTTCTTTACAAAAAATTGGCTAAAATGTTTGTAATTCGATATTATGACCTTAGATTTTGATAAATTTTACCTACACACTGAACAAAAAGTTTTGTCATCGTAAGTGCAAATGAATTCGTTTAACATTAAGAATTATGTATGTCTTATTTTAAATAACCAAATATTAAGAGTCCATCTGAGACTTGGAAGAAACCTAATTCTATACGATGGATATATTTAAAAAAATAATACCACTATATTAAAAATAAATTTCCCTTTAAATATTGTTTATCATCCACGTATTGGAAAAGTGCCAGGAATCTTGCTTACAGATTTTAGGTAAAATTTTTGTAATTTTACATTTGATAAAATACAATTTTCAACGTAAACGACAGCTTGTCATTAGAATATCTTTCTTGAACATTCCAATACTTTTTTATCATTCTAATACTTTGCTTGTCATTAGAAACCTTTACAATTTCCATGAATTCTTTAGAACAGGTATAGTGACTGAAGTTAATTCAAGTAAACTGGTAATTAATGGCCAATTTACCTTCACCACTACCTTAGACATTTGTACATATACATATCGATACTAACATGTAAGCATTAGGTATATAAATAGTTACAAATTCCTTTTTTATAGCTTTTGCCTTTGTAGAACAATTATCACTCGATAAATTGTGTAATTTGTATTGATCTAGATATAAATAAAATCCCTTTCATACTTCATACAAAAACAATAAAATAAATATTTTTCTTATAATTATATGGTTCCTTATGGATAAGGTGCTCTGAAATTGTTAAATTCTGGTCAGGAATTAGTATTTTCAAGTGAAACAAACTTTGATGTTAAAGATGATAAACTATAATACGCTCCAGGGCAGAATAATTTCCAATATCACGGTTACTTACTTCGCTATCAAAACCATCATCCCAATCTAGATCCTACAAAAGACATCTTTGTATTCTTTTGTAATTCCAATAACTTTAAATTTAGTTCATAACAGTAACTTATATCAATATTCTAACATTTTCTAGAAAAATCGTACTATATCATATATATTTTTTTTTACGTCATAAAAGAAATAACAATCAAGTGCCCATATATTATGTAACCACAGGTTTAAATAAGAGTTTGCCTTTTATAATCCCTTTTGTTATATATCCGTTTTTAGGAATTTCTCTGTTAAACCACAGATTTTCCTGTACACTTATCCTTACCACATTAATTTAAATTTTCATTTTCAGTGACGTGTTTAAACTTTTATTAAAATAAAATTTCCGTTTTATCATTTTATTTTTAAAACTGAAGTATTTTCAAACAGTACATAATATTTTCTAAGCGATTACACTGTGCAATCTATCCATTGATCTAATGTGCATTTAATGGCTCTATAACCATTGTGAAACTAAATGATTGTGTGTGTGCTGTGTATGCCTTATTTGATGCGTTCCCAAAGCATGATGAACCTTTATTTAGGTATAAGCCTTCCCATAACGCAATTAAAACAACTATCGTGGTATAACATCCAGAAACACCTAATTAAAAAGCACGCTGCATGAAATTAATTCGTCTAAAGTATCTAAAACAAAATTAAGAACACTTTTTTATTGATTGTACATTAAAATAAATGTGTTGTGAAAAGCTTGTAAGGGTGCTAGTTTATGTAAGGGACGTGGTGTTTAACGAGGCTACAGGGACGTCACATTCGCCAACTAACAAATCAATTTTGTGATCAAACCACAGAACAGGCTAACTGTCGACTGTACAACCTGACATTTTAAAAAGAATTGGGATTTTATGCGTTTTTATACGAATTTGAAGTGAGAAGTTATATAGGATACGGATGAAGAGATTTATATATTTTTGTTATATGAAAGATATATGTAATATACATATAATAATTTTAAATAATAGCAATGGAAGATTTAAAATAGATACATATTTTTTATGAAAAAGGGAATGAGAGATTGTACAGTCGAATGCCATGGTGGTGCGTAATGTTATCTGAAGCCCACCGTTCTAACGTAGTTGACCGTGTCTCCTGTGGCTTCAGTGAACGCGCGTCTTAGTCGAGCCCGGCGGGTCTGCGACAGGGTTTGTGGGCAGAGGAGCAGTCCCTGCAGGTTAGAACAGAAATCAAATCAAACACTAAACATTTGATTTGATTTTAAAGGAACCTCTCAACACCCTTACACAGCATTTACATCCGGACTTTTAAAATCTGTAAATTAAATTTATTTAATTCATTTGTTTTGCTCTAATTAAAAGTTTTAAATGTTATCTAAAATTACATTCCCTTTAATAAAATCTGTGTCGCTCTAGAAGGAACCCGGGAATAAATTAGCTATCATTCGCAATCGTAAAAATTAAATTTCGATAATAATTGTGTTGAATGATAAATATTAATTACTCCCAATAATTAATTATTCAACATAAATTGTCTTTTAGGGTTTTTAGGCATTCGAGATTTTGTTTCGTAATAAGTAGAAAATCTTTCCTTTGTATGACAAAATCGAAGAAGTTTTTTTCTTTTAAAGAAAATTTCCTTTAAAGCGACATCGGACTAATTTTCAAGTCGAATTTAGTTGCACAAAGCCGCTTAAGCAATTATACAGCTGCCTTCTTCTGGCAATTCACTTAGTGATCTAATTAAATAGCTTTAGCTGTGTGCTGATTTGCGTGTTCAGCGATAACGTTTCATTACAAAGCATTTTTAGAACAACAAACTATATTATATTAACTTATTCAAATTCTTTAATTACAAAGCATTTTTATCCTTTGAGAGTTATATTTTAGACATACTTATTTATTAAAAAAATATAGAATCCATTTCATTCTTGATATCTTAAAATAAATCTTACGAGTAGTAATTAAATTATATTTGTATCGTTAGAATCGTTGTTATTGTGTTGATTCTTTTAATATATACCTGAAATATTTACACTCCACCCTTACAGGTTTAAAAGGATATTCGTATTATTTATAAATAAACTGAGGTCGTTTGCGCCATCTGTTGGAACATTCGCTCACCTGCTTGAAGGGTCGCATTCCACCGTTAATTCGTAACGAATCCGCTGCTATTCCTGCGATTCCATCACCAGGTTCCCTCAACTGTCGCAGTGAGGCGCTAGGGTGTTGGTGTGAATGATGAACACAGTGCGTCGCGCATGCGCTAGACTCAGGTTGCGAACTCTGTCGAATAATTCTTGTACTTGTTGCAGGTAACAATAAGGCCGGTGGTTGAATGACAGGACATGTGCTTACAGCATGGAGCGAACTACATCCACACGGGTAGTGAACCGCCGAACGAACACTCTCCCTTGACACAGATCGCGCTAGCTGTAAGGCGGACATTGGGGCCGTTGACTGTCTTCTTTCACAAACACGACATCTACTATACGAATGTGGAACTAATTGACACGCGGGCACTGATCCTCTATGTGAGCAAGTTGTAAAAGGTGACACAAGTGTCTGCGGTCGGTCGGGAGGCTCACGGCATTGTAATTCTATGTCCGGTACACTTCTAGTTGTTCCTTCTTCAATTCTTATTGAAGCAGCACTTTCTTCACTCCCCGGACCACCCGATAATTGCGGTCTTAAATGAGTAGTACAATCTTGTCTTTGTAAAACTGGTTTAACTGTTCTATTTTCTGTGGGAACTATTACTGTAACTGATGGCCCAGAAACTAAAAGGCTTGCTGTTTCATCACTACTACCATAACCGGAATTAGTTATAGCTTCAGTACTATCAGTTGTTGGCACGGACATTTTGTTTTAATATCTGAAACAAATAAAATAAAATATAAGTATTATTTTTTATTTATATTTATTCTAGATGATTATTTTTCTGTAGGAAAAGCAGTAGAATTGTTTATTAAAGAAACAAGTGGTTCATTAAATACATAGAAAAGAGCATAAAAAGGTATAGAAAAAGCTCTGGATAAAATGAACCAAAATATCACCTGTAAGGGTGTAAACACCTATTTATATTATTTTATATGTATTATGTGCTATATAGAAAAGTAAATTCATTGGAAGTTTGCTTGTAACAGCAATACCTTTAACGACATAAAAGGAAGGTTATTTGACAAAACATAAATTTAAAAGCACTTGTGATACGTTTTCCGCCCATAAAAATGAAACTGCTGTATCGTAGAAACACACGTAATGCACTGTTCTGCACATCTATCCTTATACACTTTGATCTCTTCCTTTGTTCCCGTTTCAGATTGAATTTCTTTTTACGTTATTTTCTTTGGCTTCATTTTAATTTATTTATTAATAAAAGTCATCTGAGTATTATATGCCTTGAAATAAAACTAATATTTTCGGAGTTATAACAGAATTTTAATTATTTTAACTATGTATATACTCCCGACGTTTCGGTTAGGACTTTTTAGCAACCGTGATCACGAGCAGACGAGGTAACGAAGTTTTTATTTTAATGAATATTCGAGAATGTCTTGGATCTCATTAACATGTACTTTACAATTGTATACGTGAAAAGTTTTTATTTTCTTGTCAGTGTTTTTATTTTTTATTGATGTCTTCATATTTATTTCATACTCTCCTACCAGGTTCAACAATATCATTTCCTAGCATCAAAATTTTACTCATTTCAAAATCTGAAACGATATCTGATATTATTTACTTAGTATTTTACCCTTTTATAATAAATAATTGATTGATAAGATCGAATATTACAAGTAAAATTAAAGGAATAAAATATTTCATTCTCACACAACGTAAAAAAAATTAATCGCGTATTAATGTAAAAAAATAAAAATCACTAATGTCTTAGAACTCAACATATTTATTCATTATTATATAAGATACAAAATAATTAATTTTCACACTTTTTAATATACACAGACTAGTTTCCAATAAAATAAAAAACTTAAGTTGCTCTTTACATACAATTAACTGTAGGTTTACTTTGAAGGGCGACCCAAATTTTGTAAAAACAAAGTCAAACTTCAAAACATTCAGGCTTACTCGAAATTAAGCCGTAGGATAGTAGTGTTTACAAAGTTACCTAAACAAACTGTCTTAACCAAGTATATTTGGCCTCACCACGTAACGTGACATGGCTGGTCAGAGAAAATTATATTTAATTACTAACTTACAGTTTATAATTAAGGAGAAACTTAAAACTCATAATATGGTTATCCTTTAGTTCAAGCTTTGCACAAACTTAGTAAGGCGATATAGCCTTAGTATAGGCTAGCTCTTATTATTTCGCGTCTTGAAATCCGAAAAATTTTTTAAGGCTGTAATAATACGTACGGCTATAACAGTTCGATACGTTATTATTTAGAGAAGCAAAGAAAGAGGAAATTATGTTTTAAATAGAGAAATTCACAAAATTAGACGCTTAATTATTGCCATAGTGCAAAAAGCGATGCAGAAAATATTGAAAGTTACGTTGTATTGTTATTGGCATAGAGAAGATTGCAAGTCGAATTGATATAACAATAAATTAACCTCGGACTGCCTCATGACGGGTTTGGTGAAATTGCCCAAAAACGCCATCTGAGAAAAGAAAAACATTTTGATTATACGTTATTAATAATTATGTTGAGTTGAACACAAAAGGTTCTGTTGTACCTGAATAATTTTATTTTCTGTTAATATTAAACCTTTTATTTTTTTATGCATATAGTGTTAAAAATCCGTTTATTTATCCGTTTATCCGTTTATTTTAAATATGTCTTAAACCAAATGTATAAAGATGTTGTTCAAATACTTCGAGAGGCGGCTGTGAGCTCCTATGTAGGGCCTACTTTCCGAAAACATAGACCCGTGCCGGGGTGGAACGAACACGTCAGTTCCGCTCACAGGACGGCGCGGTTATGTTATCAAAATTGGTTAAAAACAGGTAAGCAGATGAAGGGATCGGTTTATAACGACATGAGGGAAAGTAGACGAATTTTTAAATCGAAATTAAAGTTATGTCAGGATAATCAAAATCAAATAAAATTAGATATAATAGCGCGTCATCATGCCGGTAAAAATTTTAGTAAATTCTGGAAAACAACAAATAAATTAAACCCAATATCAAATAGCCGTCCTGTAAGCGTTGCTGGCTCGCACGAACCCCGAGATATAGCAAACATCTTTAAACGACATTTCAAGGCTGAGCTACCGAGCGGCACTGGTGTTCGGATGCTGAACACTGAGCAACCAAAGTTAATGGCCGTTAGATTTTCTGCTAACGATATAAGCAAAGTAATAAGTCGAATGGTGCGTGGTAAGTCGCCTGGTCACGATGGGCTGAGTGTTGAGCATCTGAAGTATGCTGGAGCTGAATTGACGAGAGTTCTCGCTATGTTTTTTAATTTATGTCTGAGCCACAGTTACCTGCCGGAGGATCTTATGCACACTGTAGTGGTACCAATATTGAAAAATAAAACAGGGAATGTATCTGATGTTGCCAATTATAGACCGATCTCACTAGCCACGGTCATAGCTAAAGTTTTGGACAGGCTGCTTGATGGACATTTGGAGAGGCATATTAAACTTCACGATTCTCAATTTGGCTTTAGACCCGGTCTTTCTACAGAGAGCGCCATCTTTTGCCTCAAGCAGACTGTACAGTACTATACAGCTAGAAAAACTCCTGTATATGCCTGTTTTTTGGATCTATCTAGGGCTTTTGATACTATAGACTATGATATACTATGGAATAAACTCAGAAAGGAGACAGATGTACCCTTCGAAGTTACCTCTGTTTTGCAATATTGGTACCATAACCAATGTAATGTCGTGAAATGGGCTGGCGAGCACTCGGATATGTATGGGTTGGAGTGCGGTGTGAGACAAGGCGGCCTTACCTCGCCTCGCCTCTTTAACCTGTACATTAATGGGCTGCTTGCAGAGCTGGGTAATAGCGGTATCGGTTGTCACGTGGGGGGCGTCTGCGTAAATAACATCAGTTACGCTGACGATATGGTATTGATGAGTCCCTCAATCGGCGCGTTACGAAAATTATTAAGCATATGTGAGAGGTATGCTGAAGCCCATGGACTGAGATACAACGCGAATAAAAGTGAACTCCTGGTGTTTAAAGCTGGTAAGAAAGTTTATGCTAATGTTCCACCTTTATATCTTGGTGGCATTGCTTTAAGACGAGTTGAACAGTTCAAGTATCTGGGTCACTGGGTTTCAGACAACCTCAGCGATGACGATGATTTGGAGCGAGAGCGCAGGGCGCTGGCCGTGCGCTGTAACATGCTGGCCCGAAGGTTTGCACGGTGTACTGAGAGTGTAAAATTAACTTTGTTCAAGGCATATTGCCAATCCTTTTACACCTGCAGCCTTTGGGTTAAGTATACGCAGCGCGCGTACAGCGCTCTGCGAGTTCAGTACAACAATGCATTCAGAGTGCTGTTCGGATTGCCGCGCTACTGTAGCGCCTCCGAAATGTTTGCTGAGAGGCGTGTTGATAGCTTTTATGCTATTATTCGCAAGAGGAGTGCATCTGCGCTTCAGAGGTTGCGATCCAGTTCGAACAGCATTCTGTGTGCACTGGCTGGCCGCTGGGACTCTGAAATACTGCGCCACTGGGTACGGCTACACGCTGCCTAAAAATAGCGATTTTTGTCTTTTGTGTTTGTCTCTGTTTTGTTTTGTTTGTTTTTATTATTATTATTATTATTATTATTATTATTATTATTATCATTTGCTTTTACTAACATTAGTTATAAGGTTGACATGTATTACTAATATTTAAATATGGACTATGTCTGAGATAAAAATAAATTATTATTATTATTATTATTATTATTATTAAAAAATGTTATCAGCTCAATAGAAAAATATTCAAATTAACATAATGATAATTTCTTGCTTTTCTCGCAAACTAAATTTATCTGTTAAATTAAGTAGACGCAAATCTTATGGAAGCTTATCTGTTGGCTGTTGAGATTAAGGATATCCCTTTCATCAGTTTAAGCTATCTTTCCGTCTACATGTTGCCTTATCTTGTACTCTTATTGAGAATTATAATTCAAATTATACAATTTATATTTAAGTATTTTCTTTCTATAAAATACGAATAATACTAAAATGTCACTTCGTTTTAATTTTCAGTTATCTGAAATGTACATACAATAAACGTTAATGAGTCAATAAATATGGTAGAGCGATACAGTTTTGAATTAAAATATAATTCAATATGTAATTATAGAAACATTAATAACGTTAATTGTTACATCTATTTGCTGCGAGTAGACACGCCAAATGGCAATTTTTCGTGACGACTCTGTTTAGCCGCGGAAACTTAAAACATTAACATTAACAACTCATCAAGTAAAAAACAAGTTTTCAATAGATTAATGTCTTTAAAAACATTTTTTTTGTTCGAATTAATAATAGTATACAATAAAATATTTTGATTGCTGTGATTATTGAATCAGATTCTTTAGGAAATAAAAATAAATGACGTACATACTTCATAAAAATACTTTCCACTTTCCGTTACGTTTATAAGAGAACTTACAGTTTGTTTTGATAAAGGCAAACTACTGTAATATTAACTAAGCGGGAACGCAGAGACAGACCGGCTTATTGAGCAAGTCCAAATGACCGCAGATTTAACTCTCCAACAGATCCCCTCGACTGAAATTGTCATTCTTGGCGATTTTAATGCTCATCATGCCGAATGGCTTGCGTCAAGAACAACTGACCATGCAGGGAGGTCTTTTCACGATTTTGCTCTAGCCAATGATCTCACTCAATTGGTGACATCGCCTACGAGGGTGCCAGATGTGAATGATCACACGCCTTCACTGTTGGATCTTCTGCTGACCTCGCATCCAGAAGGCTACGAAGTGCATGTTGATGCCCCTATAGGCTCTTCTGACCACTGCCTCATCTGGAGTACAGTGCCGATTACACGCTCCCCTAGGCCGCGATGTGCAGGTAGTCGTCGCGTGTGGCACTATAGGTCAGCGGACTGGGATGGGATGCGGACCTTCTTTGCGTCCTACCCCTGGAATGGAGTCTGTTTTAAGGAGAATGACCCTGATGTCTGTGCCGTATCTGTCGCTGATGTCGTGCTTCAGGGTATGGAACTATTTATTCCTAGCTCTGTGGTACCCATCGGCGGCAAGTCACAGCCCTGGTTTGATCGGCTCTGTAGAACGGCATCACGTCGTAAGCAGGCCTGCTACCAAGCCTGGGTTGACGCGATTGCATCGAATAGTCCTAACGCCAATATTCTCAAAACAGAATACAACTCTAGCTCCAGATCCTTCAAAAGAGCAATCACTAGAGCAAAATCAAAATACATTGCTAGGCTTGGAGAGAAGCTTGCCCGCCTTCCCTCGGGAACTAGAGCTTTTTGGGCCCTCTCTAAGTCTGTGCAAGGAAACTTCTGCAGGTCATCTATACCATCCCTGCGCATGGAGAAGGACTTGTTGGCGCATACGGCAAAGGAGAAAGCTGATCTACTCGGTTCCCTATTTGCCAGTAACTCGACTTTAGATGACAGGGATTACTCGCCGCCTACCATCCCGCGTGTCGAGGGATTTATGCCAGAGGTAAAATTTTCACAAAGAACTGTGCGTAAAACCTTGTTCTCTCTGAACATTAACAAGTCGAGCGGCCCCGACGGTATTCCTCCTCTTGTGCTTAGGACGTGTGCTCCGGAGCTGGCACCAGTTCTAACGCGTCTCTTCCGGCTCTCCTATTCCGCCGGCGTTGTCCCAAAATCCTGGAAGACTGCGTTAGTGCACCCGATTCCTAAGAAAGGTGACCGCTCTGATCCCTCCAACTACAGACCCATCGCAATTACCTCTTTGCTCTCCAAGATAATGGAGTCCATCATTAACCGCCAGCTTCTTGGGTATCTAGAGGAACATCAGTTGATCAGTGATCGCCAATATGGCTTTCGTCACGGACGGTCAGCTGGTGATCTTCTAGTATACTTAACGCATCGATGGGCCGCGGCTATTGAGAGCAAAGGCGAGGCTTTAGCAGTCAGTTTGGACGTAGCGAAAGCTTTTGATCGGGTCTGGCACAAAGCGCTTCTATCGAAGCTTCCTTCTTATGGGCTTCCTGAGAAATTGTGCCAGTGGATAGCCAGCTTTCTTACGGAGCGTAGCATAAAGGTCGCTATCGACGGTCTGTGCTCGAATTTAATGCCCGTGAACGCTGGTGTCCCACAAGGCTGCGTTTTGTCTCCCACTCTGTTCCTTCTGCATATCAATGACTTGCTGCAAGTCGGCAATATTCATTGCTATGCAGATGACAGCACTGGTGATACGCTCTATACCGGAGAACGTACACTTTCTCAGGACCACGTCGCTGAGTGTCGAAGTAGACTTGTGTCTAGCATCGAGTCTCTACTTGATCAGGTGTCATCCTGGGGACAAACCAATCTGGTTACATTTAACCCAACTAAGACACAAGTCTGCGCGTTCACCGCGAAAAGAACACCCTTTGTCGTAACAGCTCGGTTCCAGGGCAATTCCCTTAAACCCACAGCCAGTATTGGTATTCTGGGTGTCACCATTTCGAGTGATGTACAGTTTCGTAGTCACTTGGAAGATAAGGCCAGGTTGGCATCTCAAAAACTTGGCGTACTTCGCAGAGCGGGGCGGTACTTCACTTCGGGTCAACGCCTGACGCTGTATAAGGCGCAGGTTAGACCTCACATGGAGTACTGCTCTCACCTCTGGGCTGGAGCGCCCCAGTGCCAACTTCTTCCTTTTGACCGAATCCAACGTCGTGCAACTCGAATGGTCGACGATACCGATCTTACCAATCGGCTTGATACTTTAGCCCTGCGGAGAGACGTTGCCTCTCTCAGCGTCTTCTACCGCCTTTACTATGGGGAATGCTCTGAGGAGCTCTTTGGGCTACTGCCGGCAGCTGAATTCCACCACCGCACTGCACGTCACAGGTTGCAATACCATCCGCACCACCTTGACAGCTGGCAGTCAACCACAGTGCGCTTCAAAAGAAATTTTCTGCCACGCACCACCACCCTGTGGAATCAGCCGCCTCGCGACGTATTCCCTATCCATTACGACTTAGGGTGTTTCAAGAAGAGAGCGTACCTATTTTTGAAAGGCCGGCAACGCACTCGGGCGCCTTCTGGCTCCTCGAGTGTTTATGGGCGGCGATGACTATCTCTCACCAGATGGCTCGCCCGCTCGTTTGCCCCCTATGATATAAAAAAAAAAAAAAAAAAAAAAAAAAAAAAAATTAACTAATTACACCTAGTTTGTCAGGACTGACAAATTATAAGAGAAGAATAGTTTTCTTTTCCAAGCAAGATAAATTATATGATGAGACGAAACCTCTTAGCATTCAATGGATTCACCGTGCGGGTGCCGGGTCCATCGCGTTGCAGGGAGAGGAGCTTCAACAGTGCCTGGGACTTGCGACCCAGGTGTAGGTTTAAGGGGCCCCTTAACTAACGCGCGTTATACGCTCACCTCCACTGTCCAAGTTCCTCTCCCTACCTAACCAAATTTGAAAAGAACCTACTAGGGCTGCCTTCGACGTACGTTCTAAGAATGAATTAATGTTAGTTCTGGACAGGCCCAAGTCTTTTAGTAGGTTATAGAGAGATTTAGCTGTTATACCTCTCGCTCCCACCTCTACCGCGTACAAATCAACGACGAACCTATTTCGAGTTAGTTCGTTAGTGAGCTCGTAATACTTATTGACCTTGATGGCATGGTCTTTGGGGATGTTGGTTTCCCAAGGCACCGTAAGCTCTATCATCACAACGCGCTTTAAAATACGCGAATATAGAAATATGTCTGGTCTGGAGGCCGACGCACAAATATCCTCGGGGATTTTGTATTGTTTCTCATACGTATCCATCATGATAGTCCAATCCGAAGCCGCTTTAAGGATAGAGTAAGGCTTGACGTTTGATTTTATAGCCCTGGTGCCCTCTCTCACAAAACCTATTGATCGCTCGTTTGTGGTTATTTCCCTTTGCGCTCTGGCTACCGAAAGACTAACCGCTTCACGTATGATCTCTAAGACCCTATCGTGACGACGCGAGTATTGACCGCTGTCCAGGAGAACCTTACATCCCACCAGCAAATGCTTGGCAGTTCCAACTGCCTTTCCGCAGATATAGCAAGTTTTTTCGGTACCTTTACCCCATCTTACTAAATTACTCTGATCTGGGAGAGTCATCTGGAACGCATTGAGATAAAATTTTAGCAAGGCTGGCGACCAGTCATGAACTAGGGTGCGCCATTTTAGTGCTAGTGGAATGCAAAAATCTCCCATGTCTAACCACTCGTTCTGCATTTCTAAACTCATTGCATGGATCTTGTATTTATCGTTCTCGTCTTGCCGAATAAAAGACTTCAATATATCCGTATCTTGGACTTTCCTACTTGATCCTAACCCTACTCTGTTATTTTGCGCTCCGATCATAAATTGTTTATGGAATTGAAGTCGTGACTCTAGCTCTGGGGCATCATTGTCTTTTGGGAGTGATGTAACGACGTCATCATGGGATTTTCCCAGGATATGTCTCTTGGTAACTCTTAGGTGTTTGTAGAGCTCCGATGGTCTTTTTAGATTCATCCCAAAACTATTACGATCCCTGAATAAAGCCGATGAATCAGCCGTTAGCGCGAGCCCGAGCCACAACTTCAACATCTTTATGACGCCTGCATCTAATTTAGATAAAAGGGTTTTACTAAAATCATAGACGAGGAAAGGCCAATTCAAACGTGAAGTTAAGTAATTATCGTAGATCCATGCTTTTTTTACGTTACTGATCTGCTGGCTATCTACCTTGTTGAGATCATTTAAAAAGCTATCTACTATTCCTTCTAAAGATGGAGTACGACCTATATTATCAATCTTACGACCGAGAACTTGAATGGTGCATTTTCCGTAATTATTATACTCAGAAATACGTAAATAAGTTTAAGTTTTAATTAAATTTATACAATGCGGAGGAACAATTAATTAAAATTAAAAGTGACTCATGTATGACTTTAAATGTGAATAAACTTAGTTTTATTGTAATTTCTAAGCCTTTCCTTTAAGCCTCAGAGGTATTGTACTGCAGTTGGTGAATAATTAAAAAAATTAAACAAAGAAATTCTTGAACTTTTATAAATCATATACTACTACTTCGTATGTATGTTTTATGTGTCAAATTCTATTAATTCCTTCATATTTTTCTTTATACCTCTCAGAGGTAAGAATTGTAACGTGGGACTAATGTGAATTGAATATCATACAATTACTTTATTGTAATCGTGGATTCACTCTCGTACGTAATATATATATATGTATATATATATTATTTTAGAATTCCTTTACTTTCATAATATCTGAAACAATCGGTTTAATTTGAATTTCATTATTATATAATAAATGCTTACATATGTATAAATGACACACAACGTAATGATATATAACAAATAAACCTGTTAAGTAAAATTTGAACGGAAAAAACATTGTATTAAAATTGTTTTTCAATCTCAAAAACTCGTGATGGACTTATAAAACAAAAGGTTTAAATTGAAACCATAGTTATTTATCCACTATTATTATCATAAAAAGGTTTTAATAAATATCATAACTGTAATTTCTATTACATATTTTGAAATAAGTTTCATGTGTTTATATAATGTTCAACACATGATTATACTGTATTTTTTCATTGGAGATATTAAACACTTAAAGTATGATTGTAAATATTCAAATGGAAATAACTTTAACCTATATTACTGCATGCCATGTCTTAAGGGAACAAATAGAAGTGAAGTAACAAATTTTCATCACAAACTTCCAAGCAAAAGTTTTATCTCTGAAATGTTTAATATTGAATTGTCTTGAATAAATCTTACCATATTTTTTACTAAACAAAAAATAGTCTGAGATGTTTTATAAGCTCATAAAAATGTTAAAGCCACCATATTTAAGGTTTTTTTTTGCAAATGCACAATAGAATTTTATGTATGGGTAGTCTTCCTAGAGTGTCTTCTTTTCGTTTAAATTTCAGACTTCATATCCAAACCAATTGTGAAGATATAGTACAACAAAAATTTTAAACTAGAACAGGAGAAGCAAAACATGTAATTTAAATTAATTTATTTATTGCTAAAACTATCTTCACGTGTTGCTATAATGTGTGAGTCCTTCAGGACTGTCATAAGGTACAAAATCAATATAACGCTTATTGTATCATCAAAAATGCTTGATCGAAACTGTGTCGAGGTCGACCACGCGATATGACTATTAAAATAAAAGCATATTTACAATTTATACAATTCCAAAAGCTAACCCTAACTTCGTAAATATATTTTTTATATAATTTAAAATTATTATTTTGTATATCATCATATTAAATAAAAAAATATAAACATTAACTCATTAGTGTTACCGTTGTAATATTTGTAATGAGATGACCGGAACACACTTTATGTCAATGAAAAATACAAATAATCAAAAGTTAGATTTTTAGACTCATTGATAATTATTTATGTACGTTCGTAGTATTTGAATGTCAAAGGCTATTTAAATATGAACTGGAAATAAAACACTTGAATAAATAAATTACACGAGTCCGGGTCCATTGCCAGATGGTCGATGAATATATATTTTATCGTTATAACAACATGAGTGTTACATGGAAGCATAAATTTAAGTGTATACTCATAAAATGCACTCGTTTTATGAATAGTTAAGAAAAATATTCTTATAAATTTATTTAATATAAGCTACTTGGAATTTAATATTTAATTACTTATGGTTTTGCTCACTTCATTCATCGTATTAAAATCACTTTTTCTATCTCTGATCAATGTTTTTTTCACTTTAAGTGATAATAGAATACCTAATTACATGAAAAAAAGATGACTTGTATTCAAGTATCGTACAATATTTTTAAATCATCCTGAATTTCATTTATATGAAAGTAATAAATCGGGTGAAAGCTAGTTTATAGATGTAGTTGAGATATGAAACAACGGTAATAAATTTCATATTTATGAAATCACCAAACAGTACTCCGAAGCTTATACCTCCGTATTAAATATTACTCAATGCTCGGTTCTGAATTTGTAAATAACATGTTATTTGAATTGAACTCCATACATAGGAATGTTATAAGTACGTTCGCATTTACATTTTCAACTACATTAATTTACATACCCGAATTAAAATTATTATTGCAATCAGAATTAATTTAAAATTATTTTTAATGTTTTCTAATTAATTAATTCTCCTTCGTTAATTGTTGAAAGACAAATTATTATACGATCAATCATATAGTTTTTTTAACAATATGTTTTTGTACCACTCACAGATTTTTTTGTAAAAATACAAGTTTTTACTTTCATTTGAAATATGGTTCTGCAGTTCAGAAAACTGGTTATTCGGTAGATTCAAACAAATGTTATTTTAAACTGCAAATAAATTAAAATGTATTTTCGTATCAAAAATAAAATATGAAGTTTTTTTTATTCTCGATAGTTTTTAGTATCACTTTTATGATTCAATTTCGAGTAAGAAGGGTTTGTTATTATGCACATAGCAATTTTTAGATAGCCGTAATGTTTTATCTTTAATTTTACAACCTATTTCATTTAACGTTTAATAAAATTATTATTATAGGAGTATCAAGCATAAAGATGAAATAAAGCTTACCGTGCACAAGATATATAAGCTAAACAAATCTAATATAGTAGTTAGTCTACAAGGATCTATTTATATATTACTAATATTTCCATATCCTACATATATATGAAAAATTACATCCGATCACAAAAGTCTTAGATATACCTAATGATATTACTATGCCGAACTAGGAAGGAAGGAACTATTTTTATGCGGTGAGTAAAATTATGATTCGCAGTTTAAGAAAAGGTTACCAAACGTATTATATAGAAGTACAATTAATTATTTAATTAATTAAACCTCTATCAGTTTTAAATCCTCTAGATATATATTTCTTTCACTAAACATAAGTAATTGATGTTGATATGGACTCTTTTACCAAAATTAGTTACTTTTGATTTCAAAGAATTTATTGCAATTTATTTAATACTGTTATCATCAAACTTTCTTGGTTAATAAATTAAGACTAATTCTCCATTTCTTTAGATATGCAAAGAGAATCGGTTTGTTAAATCAGCTCCCCAAGTACTTTACCATATAAAATATTGCTTTTAAGGATAGCGTAAATGAAGAATTAAACAGTAAAACTAAGAAATGTTAATAAATTGAGTATAATGAAATTATGTTCAAGATTCTTTTTTCTGTAGAGTGTATTTTGAGTGACACCTTATACACGAATCGCGGTCTATTTTGAATGCAAGTGCGATGCACTTCGTGAAAAGCCAGAAAGGATTGAGTCATGCTGGTAAAAATACATGAAAGCCAGCATTGCGGAAGAGTCTAAATTTAAAATACCAGTATACTTACTGCGGTATTAATATCATGTCTAAAATAAACTCAAATAATCAGCTCAGCGAGAGATGTATAAATTTTTAAAATCACAATAAAGAACAACGCTCTAAATCTGACATTTTATAGTATAATCTTACCTGGTTTTTAATATTAGATGTTTTTTAATTGTAATTCATATTTTTGTACATAATATTATATATACTTAATAATGTTAAGGATTTTTCCAACGTCTTATAATAATATAAATATTTCATTCCAGTAGAAATGAAATAATAGTAACTGAAATGTACACGATTTGAAGAACGAATATCAGAGGCACATTAAAGTTTCATAACAAAACACGTTTGTGTATTAGTATGAAGCATATTCCAGAACGTCGACATAAACTCGTCTCCGTGTTCATCATAATTAAACAGCTTCCAACAGTGTCACAAAAGCGAAGCCCATTTGCCGACAAAGTAATAAAACAGATAAACAGAGCTTTTAATTAATTGATAAAGGAAAATGTTTCTATAAACTAGTAACATGAAAAACTTTTCATTTTTAGATAAAAATATTTTAGCTTAATTTTATATTCACAGTATTTAAAACTGTCTTTACCACATAGTTCCACAGAACTGGATTTGTGCGTATGTTTGTATGTATATGGTCTAATGCACATATACGGAAATATATAGATGGATGTAACAGATGCTTTGAATGGATTTACTATTTTTTTTCTCTCTTGAAAAAAAGCATTTCCTTTAAATTAACCGATATATTACACGTTACGAGGGCATTTCCCAAAAATATGGAGACATATTACTCCTTAAGGTACGGAACAAAACGATTTATTTAGTTTATTAAAACTTGTATCAGTGAATAGGTAGAAAAAAAAGCAAGAATTGTGGATACAGACGTCTTGATTTGATTTTCTATGATGTTTTCTGAATAATAACTTTTAGTCAAACAATAAAGGTGAGGATTTAAGTTCGCCAATTCGGCAATGTGTATAATTGATGGGATATGGAAGAATGGGGAAATTATAATTTTGATAATTATCAGCAAAAGAAAAGTGGTTTTACTCAATACGCTGATTATAATAATTTTTTTTTCATACGGGGCCGTGGCATGGATATTGAAGACAAGAAATGCAAATGCAAGATGCAAAACAAAGACTGTCTAAAATTTATTTAAATAAAAGTAACATACTTCGTAAATTTCGAAACTGAATTCAGTCGTGGAACTATACA